TTCCCGCACTGCTGACATTCATAGGGTCTCTCCCCAGTGTGAGTCCTCACGTGTGCCCGCAGGTTTACTGGATACCAGAAGGCTTTCCCACACTCCTTGCATTCGTAGGGTTTCACCCCGTTGTGCTTTCTCACGTGGACTTGAAGGGAGGAGTGACAGCTGAAGGCTTTCCCACAGTGCGGACATTCATAGGGTCTCTCCTCAGTGTGTGTCTTCACGTGTGCTCGCAGGTTGGCTGGGTACCAGAAGGCTTTGCCACACTGCTGACATTCATAGGGTTTCTCTTCACTGTGCGTTCGCACGTGTTTCTGTAAGGACGAGGACCACCGGAAGGCTTTCCCGCATTGTGCACACTCGTAACGTTTCTCCAAACTGTGCGCCCTCACGTGTCCTTGAAGGGAGGAGTGACGAGTGAAGGCTTTCCCACACTGCTGACACTCAAAGGGCCTCTCCCCAGTGTGCGTCCTCATGTGTTCCTGCAATGATGTCGAGCTGCTGTATGCTTTTCCGCACTCCTTACACTCGTAGGGCTTCACTCCACTGTGCATCCTCACATGTCTCTGGAAGTATCGAGGATGTCTGAAAGCCTTCCCACACTGCTGACATTCGTAGGGTCTCTCTTCGCTGTGTGTTCTGACATGTTCTCGAAGAGATAAGGAACAACTGTAGGCTTTCCCACATAACGTACATTCATAGGGTTTCAGTCCACTGTGCGTTCTCACGTGTCTTCTGAAGTATTTGGGACAACTGAAGGCTTTCCCACATTGCTGACACAGGTATGGTCTCTCTCCAGTGTGTGTCATCATGTGTCCTTGCAAGGACGCAGGATACTTGAATGTCTTCCCACACTGCTTACATTCATAGGGTTTCTCGCCACTGTGTGTTCTCACATGTTCTTGGAAATACGAGAGGCAGCTGTAGGCTTTCCCACACTCCACACATTCATAGGGTCTCTCCCCAGTGTGAGTTCTCACGTGACGTGTAAGGTAGGACTGATACATAAAAGCTTTCCCACACACATCACACGCATGGACTCTCTGTCCACAGTGACCCTTTACATGACCCTGAAAGGATGAGGTGCAAGTGAAAGCTTTTCCACACTTCTTGCACTCTAAAGATTTTTTACTACCGAGACTCTTCAAGTCTCTTTTTGATGCTCTCCCAGTGTCCTGATGTTCATAGGGTTTCTCTACAAGGTCTGTGTCCACGTGAGTGCTGAGCCTCAAGACACAGCTACAGGCCGGCCCACATTCTTCACAGGGACTAGGTTTGTGTCCAGGCTGAGATCTTTGTGGATTCTCAGGGAAAGAACCATCTGTGAAGGTTTCTCTACACTTAGCACATTCACAGGATTTGTCTCCAGTAGGACAATCCTCATGCACACTAAGACTTGTAATCTGGTTTATGGTATCTCCACATTGATTATCTTCATCGCTTTCACAGACACGCTCCACCAAATGATTTCTGTTCAAAATAGGAAGGCACACTGTTAGGGAATAATGATTATAACCAAACTCTTTATTAATGATCTACCGATGCTAAGTAATGATTATCTGACTACAAAATGACCATTTCCAAGGAATGGGCATGTTTGGGGCACCGTCTACACTGCTATAATGTAGAAGAAGCTAAATGCTCAAAACAAGGGCCCAGTAATAGCCATAACTGTCAGCGTTTCTTACACGTGGGTTTTCCTGATAAATGTTTTGAACTGAATTATATTTCTGATGATCAGTACTACATCACATCTATGAAGATATTGTGTTGTGTAATTCCAACTACACAACTGTTTTTTGTTTTTGTTTTAAAGATTTTATTTATTTATTTGACAGAGAGAGAGAGACAGCAAGAGAGGGAACCTGCAGGCAGGGGGAGTGGGAGAGGGAGAAGCAGGCTTCCTGCTGACCAGGGAGCCCGATACGGGGCTCGATCCCAGGACCCTGGGATCATGACCTGAGCTGAAGGCAGACGCTCAACGATTGAGCCACCCAGGCGTCCCCCAACTACACAATTGTTCAGCTAGGTTTATACCTTTATACCTTCTTCAATTTCAAGTTATTCTAACATTTGCCAAGATCCCCATTTCTCCTATGGGAGAGAGAGGCACTCACCTCAAACACCTCTCCTGGGATTGGGACTGATCTCCAATGTGATGAAACACCCAGTTTTCTCCAAAAAGAGCCCAGGAATCGTTTCTTATCAATCTTACTATTTTGTCTTCACTGGATAGTTCATTCTCCAAAATATTCAGCTGAGTCCCTGATCCACAAGGCTTAACTTGAATGCAACAATCTGCAAGAATTGGGAGCAATTTAATTTTTTGGGAATGATCTGATGTTTAAAGGTAAGAAAATTAAGAAAATAGACCATATGTGGATTTCTACTCATATACTGATCCCAAATGTATATTAAGTTCATCAGGAAGAATGAACATGTGACCACAGAAAAATTCTAAGGACCCTAGTGATTTGGGACTTAGGCAGTAAGAGGGAAAGTGTATGAAAAGGCAGCCCGTTTACTCAGAAATACTTCAAAATCGATGGAGACTAATGTGGAGATAGTATTATCAGAAAAGCAAAAACTAGGAAGGAAATGGGCAAGATACAAACATCCACACACTACCTCATAAAGGAATACAGTAAAGCTTCCCATGTGAGTGTGGATGGTTGAAAAGTCCGACAGGGAGGCCAGGTAAATGACAAAACATCACACTTCTCAAACAAGGACTGAGTCATGTTCCTAATGGACATGTGCAAATGGCATTCCCTTCTCCAGACCCTGGTCCAACCGAGGGTAGCTGGACTGTCCTGAAGGCACCAAGGCCCTCGGTTAAGCCACCTGCCACTGGGGTCAGATGGTATAGGTGTGTGGCTGAACAGCTCAGCAGGAGGGAGGATTTTAAGGGCAACAAGCAATCTGGAAAATGGGCTGTTAATTTGGTCTTCAAGGTCATTGAAGATGACGAAGTGTGAGTTTAATTACAGCATGATTACCATGAGAAATGTGTATTAACTGCAGTGCATCTTCCACAGAAATGAAAACCACAAAGCAGCACTCACTGCCCCAGAGCAACACTGGAGAGCATCCTCACACTGATAAAATTAGACAGTCTCAGGCTTTGATCCAGAGCCATAGTCAACTTATTACATGAAACTTTGTTTTCACAGAAAAGGTATGTAACCCTAGGTAGTTTCCATGAAGGCTTGGACCATGGCTGTCTCTTCTTCAATATATTCCCATTCCTCCGCCCCAGTAAGATCAAACTCTTGTAAGAAACGTTCATTCCCTAAAACTCTAGTGAAGGGGTGGAGCCGTCCTTACCCAGCGAGGCCAGGTTCCTGCAGGTCTCCAGCATCACCTCTCTGTAGAGCCTCCTCTGACCACGATCCAGCAAAGCCCACTCTTCCGGGGTGAAGTACACAGCCACATCCGCGAAGACCACCGCGTCCTGAAACATCCCACGTATCCTATTGCAGCAACGCTCCCTCCTCACCCATGTGCGTGGGAGGATTGGGGAGGGGGGGCGGTGACACGCAGGGAGCCGCACTCCATTCCTAGGACCTGAGTCGCACCCGTGTGGGAAGTGACAACACGCGAGCACATCCGCTACCGCGCGTTCAGTGATGGGAGGGGCTGGGAACCCGAAGCAGAGGGAGACGACAACAGCTGATTCAGACTTACATGCACCCAAATACAGGCTATTTTTGCTGACTCAGAGCAGATCTGAGCACTCCAGTACAGTAAAGAATGGAAAATGAGATCCTTATTCAAACAACACAAAATCAGACAGCAAACACATCTTTGACTTGATCAAAGATGATTACTGCCTTGTCAGCTCCAAGAACTTGAACCAGAATTTCGGAATGTTGCGGACACTTGACTTGAGCAGATCCCTCCTTGGAAGGCAACAAGGTCAAGGAGCCTGGTGCAGTCCCCTCTATCCCCGCAGAGGCAGACACGACCCTTTCCCTGGATCAGGTGGACTGTGAGCATGGACACGGACCAGGGACCTGGCACACCTGGTGCGTAAGAGGAATTTCAGTTCTGGAAGAATCATGGAAGTCATCAGGGCCTCAAATATATACCTCAGTGCCCAGAATTCAAGGAGAAGGGCACCAGGAAGAAGAGCCCCTGAGGGACTGATGGTAACAAACAGCCACTGGTGACTTTAACAGAGAAAGAAAACAAGGCTAATCCATATTTTTAGAGCAACAAGGGATGACACCACACTCATGAAATACAGAGTTCAAAAAATTACTTTTTTCAAAAAATCAGATTTCCTAAACAAAAACTATGTTCTCAAAACTTAGTGAAAAAAAAAATCCCATATGCCAACCATATCACTTAATAGGAAGGTAAATTCTACTTCAACTGTGGTTATAACTGGGGTCTGCGTATCACACACCTGGTAAGTCCTGTATCTTAAATATGTTTTAAAAATCCATATGACAACCATGAAAAATAAAAGACAACAATATAAAGAAAAATAATATGATCAAATCATGGGGAAAGAATATGAGCAGATACTTTTCTACAGAAGATATGCAAGTGGCCAATAGGTTCAGGAAAAGATGCTAGATGTTAGTTATCAGGAAAATGGACGTCAAACTATAAGCAGATACCCCTTCAGACCCACTAGAATGGCTACAAAGAAACAAGTGCTGGTGAGGATGTGAGGAAGGGGAAACTCTCATGCATTTCTGCTGCTGGGGATGGAAAATGGTGCAGCCATTTGGAGGTGTCTGGTGCATCCTCAAAATGAGTAACGTCGAGTTACCGTGCAATACAGCAATTCCACTCCTAATATTGATCTACCCAAGACAAGTGAAGATGAGCACCAACACCAACACTAATTTCCATATACTCTCAGCAGCTTGATTCATAATAGCCAGCAAGTGAAAACCACCCAAAGGCCCATCAACTCTTTGAAAATGAATAAAGGAGACATGACTCAAATGGAATTAGAAGGCTGCAGGGGGAGCTCCCACCAGTACCACTCATTCTCCATTGCACTCAACAGCAAGAGACAACCTTGGACACATTACTGCCCCAGCAGGAGAAAGGAAGGAAAGTTTCCTCCTCCCCTGCAACAGCCCAGCCAATAAGAGACAGTCACAGCCCACCCTATGAGAAGACACTAAGGGTAGAACCCCAAGTTTGCTCCAGTGGATATCGTTTGGAACAGCCCCTCCCAACATCCCCTCTCCACTATAAAAGAGAGGTCCTCCCTTTGTTCTCCAGACCTGCCTGTGCTTTTAGGTAACAGAATTGCAAATCTCCAGGCACCTGGTTGGCTCAGTCCATTAAGCATCTGCCTTTGGCTCAGGTCATGATCCCAGAGTCCTGGGACTGAGTCCCGAATTGGGCTCCTTGCTCAGCGGGGAGCCTGCCTCTCCCTCTGCCTCTTTCTCTCTCTCTCTCTGACGAATAAATAAAATCTAAAAAAAAAAAAGGAATTGCAAATCTCTGCTATTACTAAATAAACCCATTTTTGCTAGTAAAATAACTGACAGGTTTACACTTAACCCACTGAGCCACCCAGGCATCCCTGGCAGGTTTACTTTTAAAGTTAACATTACATGATCATCGGTCTTTCCACAACTATTACAAATCAACTCCAAATTGTCTTTAAAGAAAATTCTGGTCTTCCTGTAGATGTGGAATCCACCCAGGTAGCATTTAAGTCTATGTTTATTAAAGAGCAGAACCAGTGTCTTTTTCCTTTAGTTAAAAGGACCAGGATAGAATGTGAAAATATGTCCACTGCATATATATATATACAATGGAATATTATGCAGCCATCAAAAGGAATGAGATCTTGCCATTTGCAA